GTTGTCTTGTGGGTTAGCCGTTCATTTGCTTAAAGCTACCTTAAAAGCTCTTTGATCAAGTCCATTCCCCCGGGGGGAGGGAGTGGGGGCAAGCGTTCTTGGTTTCAGACGTCGAACTACTACCGTGCCGAACGCAATTCATAAATAATTAGAAAACATTTCTTTCGATTTTCTGCACAATCGATTGTTCGCGTTTTGGTCTGCAACAACTATTACATTTGACGTCTACAAACCAAGTGTTGTTCGACTCGAGGACATACCATGGCGTTTGAAACGGGTCTTCAAAGATCACGATCTTCATAAACCTAACTGTTATCAAAAACGCAGAGGCGGAGCCTCCCCGTAGGATTCTACTGTGTTCAGCATAAGTCAATACTGTGCTAAGCTTTAGCCTTATTCTATCTTCGTCATCCGTAATAACAGACGACAGCCCCCGGGAGGGAATCCCATGTAAAAAGGAAGGGGGTGCCCGTCGGACATTTTGAAAAGAACCTCTAAGAGTTACTAAGATTGTGACTTGAAATGTTTTTCAACCTTAAGAGGTACCAATTCGAAATCAGCACATTATCCAGTTGTCATATTTGTTTCGGCTCAATATCCTTAATCCCTAAAAGGTACAACGAGCACGCCCGTCCTTTTTTATATGGGAGTTCCCGGTAGGGAACCAGGTAGGACTTAAACCAGGTACCTCTAGATTTCAAATCTAGCGCCCTAAACTTCTCGGCCACGCCGACTCATCACAGTGGTAGCCTTAGGCCTACGCGGCGCTCCTCAAATTTCTCAAGGCTACGTAGGAGTTATTATCCGAAATTTCTCGAAGGAAGCTTTCATCACATGTACTAAGGTCACCAAGCGTAATGACATACGAATACTCACGAGTACAAACGAATACAAACAAGTCAGGAACCCATCAGATAGGCTCCTGACAAGTAAAATACACGAAAAGAAAAGAAACCTTAGATTGCATGCGCCGTATTGCCCGTATACATTCGTCCGTCGGTCGCATGTATCTATGACTGTGTGTTTACGTCCGGGGAGGGGTACTCCCTTATATGGGCTATATAGACCTCAACCAATTTTTCTGGGAGTACCCCACCCCGGGGGATGTACGTGTGTTACTGTTAATGTTACTTGATGTAACTCATAGAACTCGTGTGGTGTTGAAGGACGAACATATCACGCAGCGGCTGGTAATCGAGCCCAAAACAAAGATGGCGTGATTTTTATCATTTTTATAGTGGTACCGGGAAGTATTTACTATTGTTTTTAGTAAGTTAAAGCACTCGGCCTCGGTCTTCTGTTTTCGGTTTATATTTTATTGGAATATTTACTTCTTCCTGGAATCATGCTGTCATCACTTGGCTGACCAACGAGCAGGTTCAAGCACGGTTTAGCTCAGGCGTCCGTGCGAGTACAACTGCCTGGCCTTTGTCAACATAACATGTA